TATATATTTATTTTTAATGTTGAATGGGAGGCCAGCAGGTGGTGTGGTGGTTAAGGGCACTGAACTCCCACATGGCCAACTGCAGTTCAAGTGTCGGACCTGGCAGCTTGCTTTCTCACTCTCTTCCTGCCCCCTCATCCCACTCTGCCCTTCTCTGGTCAAATTAAAATAAAGAAAGAAATATAGAAAGTTAGGGACCAGCATGTAACGTGGCAGTTAAGGTGCTGGACACTCGCGCATGGCTGACCACGGTTCAAGTCCTGGATCTGACAGCTTGCTTTCTCACTTTGTCTCTCTGTGTGTGCTCAGTTCTAGTTCCAGACCTGGCAGCTTGCTTCCTCGCTTTTCCTTTCACTCTCTCGTCTCTCTCTGTTCAAACTTAAAAAATAACAAATGGGATTAAATAAATAAATAAATATTAAAGAAAAAGAAAGTTAAATAAAATAATTCTTTAAAAAATGTTGAATGGTTGGGAACCAGCAGTTAGCGTAATGGTTATGTCGCTGGACTCCCACGTAGTTGACCGCGGTTCGAGTCCTAGACCCGGTGGCTTAAAACTCACGCCGAGCACGTGTGCATGCCCAAGATCCCGAGAGGAGAATGGAGGAGAAGGGATTGCGGCGTGACCATCCCCTCTGGGAGGTGATTTCTCGCTTTCTGTCTCTCTGTCTCTCTCTGTCTGTCTGGCAAGCGCACGCGCCCTATAGCAAAAAAATCTCTCCAAAAAAAAAAAGAAAGAAAAAAATGTTGAATGGTTGATGCAAACCATAGTAGTAACCCAAACTCATGGCTTTCTGCCATTTCTCACAGGTGGCTCTTGGCAAAGAGCTATAATTATCCATTCCACTTATCTCAAAACCCTGCGAGCACGAACTAACCCAAACTACCCAGGCTGATTGGAGCTCAGGCTAGAGGCTTCTACACAGCAGAGTTGGTCACTAAATCATCACACATTGGCCATACCATGAACACAGGTGATGGATAAGGTAGGCGTTGAAATGGTCGAATGGTGGAACCAGCAGTTAGCGTAATGGTTATGTCACTGAACTCCCATGTAGTTGACTGCAGTTCGAGTCTCAAACCTGGTGGCTTGAACTCACACTGGGCGCATGTGTGTGCGTGCCCAAGATCCTGAGAGGAGAATGGAGGAGAACGGATTGCGGGATGGCCATCCCCCGTGGGGGTGATTTCTCGCTTTCTCTCTCTCCGTCTCTCTCTGTCTTTCTGGTGAGCACACGCGCCCTAGAGCAAAAACCTCTCAAAAAAAAAAAAAGAAAAAGAAATGGTAGAATGGTAGTCACAAAGAGTAGAGATGAGACCATGGGATTATAAAGACTCAATTTTGCTGACCTGGGCTGAGGACTAATTGCCACAGTGTACCTTAGACGTCAACTTGATGAATGCCAGCAACCTTAAGTTAGGGTGGTAAGGCTGGGCCTTCTACCAGATTCTCAGGTACATGCCTCTTTTTTTTTTTAATTATCTTTTTTTAAAGAATTATTTTATTTTATTTATTCACTTATCTTTTTTAATTTGACCAGATGGAGACAGAGAAAGAAAGAGAGAAAGTGAGAAAGCAAGCCACCAGGTCCAGGACTTGAACCGTGGTCAGCCATGTGAGAGTGTCTAGCACCTTAGCCACCATGCCACCTGCTGGTCCCCATGGCACATGCCTCTTTTATAGACTACTTCCTTTGCCCTTAACACCTTTAGGAGACCTAGGGAATCCAAACTTAGATTAGGCCTGCTCTACTCTGGAAGGCATTTCCTGGCCTGGCTTGGGAAGCATTTGCATGTATGAGTTCTCAACTCACCAAGATTGAGAAGGATCTCAAGATGCCCAGCTGAATGAATCATCACCATATCACTGAGGACCATCCTCAGGCACCATATAGCCTGCCCTGATCCTAGAGCAAGGACATCTCTAGTCAGAATTGCTGGCTAGCCCACCAGGATTCTCATAATGGATTTCCACAGGCCCCAGAAGGCCCCATGTCATAAAGAATGCTGCTCTAGTCATGGGAAAGTTTCTATCTGATGAGTCCTTGGGGGGACAGAGTTGATGTCTTCACTTTCCACATGAACTTGTACTGAGGCTGGGCCTTCCATAACATCCTTTCTGTTTCATTATTGTCATCACTTAATCTGAGGAAGAATTATGTTGGACTAAGAGACACCTTTGTACCTTGAACTCAAACCCAGGATTCTAGGCTTCAGGCTCTCTTACCCTATCAAGAAAATAAGGACTAAGGGATTGGCAGCTGGTGAGCTGGAGGCTGAGGTGGCTGGATCTCACATGGTTAACTTCATGGTTCAAGTCCTGGACCTGGCAATTTGAAAATCACACTGGGTACATGTGCATGCATGCCTCATATCCTAAGAGGAGAATAAAGGAGAAGGAATGACAGTGCTCTCATTCCCCTGGGAAAGTGGGGTGATTTCTCATTTTCCATTTCTCTCTCCCTCTCTGTCTCTCAGGTGAGCCAAGTGCATGCAACCTATAGCAAAAAAGACTGGGAGAGCTAGACCATGGGACAGTGTTAACACAACTGGACCCACAGGGGATGGTCCCAGGTTTGTGTCTAGGCCTCCCTGTACATGCTGGGCACAGGCACGCGTGTGTCCTGTGAACCTAGTGGCTAAGGCTAGGTTAAAAAGTGACGTGAAGATCCTACTGGAGTGCCTCTCTCTTTCATTCTGGTGGAAAAAATAATAAAGACAACCAGACCAGCAGATGACGTAGTGGTTACGTCATTGGACTCCTACATGGTTGACCACCGTTTGAGTCCCAGACCCAGTGGCTTGAAAATCACATGCGACACGAGTGTGTACCCAAGATCCCTGAAGGAGAAGAAATTGCTGTGTGGCCTCGCCTCTTGGGGGATGATTTCTCACTTTCCCTCTCACTGTCTCTGTCTCGCTCTCTCTTTCTGGTGAGTACATGCACCCTAAGGTAAAACCTCTTAAAAAAAATAGCAATAATATGGGGTCAGCAGGTGGTATGATGGTTAGAGGTACTGGATTCCCACATGGTCAACTGCGGTAAGAGTCCCGGACCTGGTGGCTTGCTTTCCTTTCTCTCTCTCTCTCTGGTCAAATTTTTTTAAAAATGGTAACAAATGGAATTAAATAAATGATTTTTTTAAAAAAATAATAATTAAAAAATAAAGACAAAAATAAATAAATAAAAATAAGGAATGCTTTGTACTGGAGAGAGAGAACTAGCGAAAGCATAGGCTTTTAGATAGCTAAAGTGCTTTCACAGAGCAAAAAGGCGGTACATGTCCACTTCCTTCCCACCAGCAGCCCAGCTTCTGCTAAAGCTCTATGATGTAGTCTCTCTGAACAGCAGGATCCCGTGCCTGATTTCTTACTCCTCGGGATATTCACACCTCCCATTAGGCAAGCCCTTCTTCGGTAGCTCCTGGGAGCCAAAAAGAGAAAATCGGGTAGAATCCCACGAAGCAAGCCAATGTGGGCTATTGGTCCCCTGCAACGACTCCCCTCAACTGAGCTCTCAGAGCGGCCCGCAGACACCAGACTCCTCCGGGAAGCATACGACATTCAGGTGAAGCGGCGCTCCACAGTCCCATTTTCCTCCCCACCTCGGCTCAGCTCACTCTTCCCAGGACACAGCGCGAGCATCGGAGCTGGAGGCCGCCTCAGTCCTAGTGTTTGACCTCAGATATTAGGACTCAAGGGACTCTGTCACCCTTTCCCAAGCTAGGACCCTATACGGTGGGAACCCT